GAGATCAGCAGGTAGAAAGAATGGGAATGGGCAGTACAACCGAAATCAAGCTGATTAATAAACACACACACTGTCTGAAGAAAATGCTCCAGTCATCCCTCTGTTCCCCAACCTCAGCTCAATGGATGGAATGGCATTTATCACAGAAGACTGTCCTCTAAACCAAGTGAAGAAGCTGCCTCAGATGAGCTAGCGTGTCTGGTGGAACTAGAGGTGGCTCAGCTTCGTGGGGCTGAGGCCTGTTGGCTCCCCCCTCTTGTACCCCAAAGGAGAGCCTGTCAGTCTGCCTGCTTGGCCACTTGCACAGACCCCCTTGGCAGCCCTCGGTCAGGGAAGAATGCTGTCCATAGACACCCAAACCTCATAATGGAACAGGAAACCCAAGCCAAGTACTGACATCATTCAGACTGATTCTTTTTTTAGAAATAAAGAGACCACTAAAGATTACCAGATATTTGGGTAAAACCAATAAGGCAAACAATACTACTCTATAGGAAGGAGATCATTCAAACAAAGGATGAGAAACAAGAGGGACTTAAGATACAATCATGAATTTAGGACAGGCTGTTTTGAAAAAGGAATAATCACTCCCCCCGCCTCTGCCCCGCAAAAGGCTCTTGGAGAATAAAATTAAATTATAGGAGATCAACTACTGTGCTGTCCAGTTAGGTGGTCATGAGCCACATGTGGCTCTCGAGCACTCATACTGTGGGCAGCCTGAACAGAAACGTGCTGTAAGTGTAAGAAACACATACTGAACTTGGAAGACTCAGTACGACAAACAGAATGTAAAATACCTTAATTTCTATACTGATTTCTTTTTGAAATGATAATATTTCCGTTATAATGGGTTATAAATAATAAATATTTTATTTAACAACGTATTTTATGTTATTAAAATTAATTTCACCTGTTTCTTTTTACTTTTGCTAGTATGGCTACTAGAAAAATTTTAATTAACTATGTAGCTTATATTTCTACGAGGTAACGCTGGTCTAGAACGTATGGTTAAAAATATCATCAAGAATACAGAACACAGAAACAGAGGCAGAAAATGAGAAAAGATAAGCATCATAAGGAAATAACCCAGGAGGCCCAGCATTTGATCAGTAGGAGCTCCCCCAAAAGAGAACAAAACAGAGAAGGAAATGGCTAAAGAAATAAAATTTTAAAAAATCTAGGAGTTGTGGATAAGTCTTCAAATGGAAACAGTCCATTAAGTACTGAGCTTAATAAATCGGGGAGGGACCCCAAAACCAAAAACAAATCACATCTTTGTGAAAACTCAGACTACCATGGTTAGTAAGGAAGTTTAAAAGGATTCTAGGAAGGGGGAAAAAAGATCACCTACTAACATAAAGACAACGATTTAATGGCAGTAATAGAAAGACTGAAAATGTATAAACCATGGAAATAAAAAAACAAAAAAATAAAATTAAAAAAATGACGTGTCTATCAAAACTAGGTGGTAGAATGGAAGAAAGGGGATAGGGAGATGCACAGAACTACTGCATTCCTCTTACAGAGTGAAGAGTTAAGAGATACTAAGGTTATTAGAAGAACTAAAAACAATAACTACTCATGATTGGCAGGAGAAGTGAAGAATTCATTTTTTCATAGTGTAGAGTCAATAAGTACTATCTGTAATGTGACTAATCAAGAAACAGAAGTATAAACACATTATATATTACTATAGAAGAACTCATCAAAAGTACTAAAAGTAGAAATGGTTAAAAGTGATTAAGTCTCATGATTAATATAAGAGGAGGGCACAAGTGTGCAGCAGATCACCCTCCCCCCCTTTTAGACCCTCCTGCACTGTGCAAAAAAGTTTAAGAAAAAAGAATCTAGCAGTAATAAAGTAGGAATAAGTGAAAGGGATCTAGCTTAAAGACAGAAAAACTAGCAAGTCAGAAAACTATAGCAGTATACAAGCAAATAAATACTGGAGAAAGCTATTAGTAATGAGAATGTCAGGACAGTAAATCCAACAGGCTTTTAGAGAAAGAAATAACAAAATGTACTTGAATAGATATTGTGAATGAAGATAATTATAGACTTTCTAAGCTGAAATTTTGGGAGAAATATTAGAGAGAAGAAGGAATGTACATTAAAAATGAAATCATAAGGGTTTAAACTGAGGCATCGGTAGGATACCCAAATGGATGAGCTCTAAAATAGGAATTCTCATTGAGGATCCACTGTTGGAATTAAGGGGGTCTGTAATCCTCTGGACCATGTAAGGGCACACATGTGCAAAATCACATGCACATATCTGAAGGGTTAGGTTGGGTGGGGTGGGGGGACTGGATGGAAGAGGACAGTAGTTCACTACTTCTACCAAATTCTCAAAAGGACCCATGACACTACTCCATTTATCTGGAAATATGGGTCTGGCTCTCCATTGGATAATCAGGAGCTGTAGATTTTGAAGCCATCAGCACAGAAGTTAAAAGAAAACTATAAGATCCAACCAAATCATCAACTTTTCAAAGGTTATACTGTGTGCAGAAATAAAGAGATAGCTAAGTGTAAAGGCTTATATAAGAAAAGGAAGAGGTACAGAAAAGGAGAAGAGTTAGCAAAAAAGATACTCTAAAGCATCAAAAGGAAGAGAGAGAAGTGGAATACGTAGACCAAGAGAAGACATTTAAACGAGAATAAGTCAATGATGGTAGCAGCACATCCAGTAGATTTGTGAACACAAAGCAGATTTCATGAGATTAAAATGGAAATGGGGTGGGACTTCCCTGGTGGCACAGTGGTTAAGAATCCCCCTGCCAATGCAGGGGACAAGGGTTTGAGCCCTGGCCTGGGAAGATCCCACATGCTGTGAAGCAACTAAGCCCGTGTGCCACAACTACTGAGCCTGCGCTCTAGAGACCGCGAGCCACAACTGCTGAGCCTGCGCTCTAGAGACCGCGAGCCACAACTGCTGAGCCTGCATGCCACAACTACTGAAGCCCACGTGCCTAGAGCCCGTGCTCCGCAACAAGAGAAGCCACCACAATGAGAAGCCCGCGCACCGCAAGGAAGAGGAGCCCCCATTCGACACTACTAGAGAAAGCCCGCGCGCAGCAACGAAGACTAAGGCAGCCAAAAAACCCCACAAAACAACAACAACAAAAGAACATAAAAAAAGGAAATGGGGTGAAAAGTAAAGAAAAGGAATGGAGATGAAATTAATAATGAGAGAGAAGGAAATTGGTTGGTGTCAAGTGGAAGAAGAAAGAAGAGTCTGTGCGTGACTATGGACAGAAAATAATTTAAAATTCATACCAATTTTTCAGAAACTCGGATTCCACTCTTCAAAATGACTGAGTTAAAGTCTTCAACTAAACAAATAAGTAATATAAACACCTTCAATTTTCAAACCCTTAAGTATCTACTTACATACACAGAGAAAAACCTCAAGTCCAGATGAACGCTTTGAAATGAGAAAGAACGTACATGAGGGCATGGCGTTCTCATGACAATTACTAAAAGTTCACTCAATACTCGTTTTCAACTAAAACTGCACGCTGCAAGTTCTTGACAACCCTCTGTGAAGCAGATGACCCACCTGTGACCCTTGACGAGGCAGCAGTACCAGCAGAAGACTTCTGTTTGTATTCTGTGCTGCCCTGGACTCCAGCAACTGTGTCTGGGATTACTTGCTGGCCTACTCTGTATTACCAGAGATGATCTATTATGTTCAGGATTTTCTCCTGGTTCTTCCTCGTTTTCTACAAATGTGTTACTCTCAATAAAACTATGATCATTTTTTATGAATTACTTTTCCGTTTGGTGTGTGAGAGACAGCATACAATTTCTAACTCTTGGAATTATTCTAGTATGTTTAAAATTTTCAATATGGAACTGAAATAAATGAATATATTCCTTAAACTTCCCTTATTTCTATAGAAACTTAATTTTATTTATATCTGTTACAGCATCACTCTAAAGAGCAGAAAAAGTTTCACCAAATTTGGAGGCTAGTTCCAGAGTGATCTAACTAAACATATAGACTGTGGCAAAAACGAAATTCACTTTAAGAGATCCTGGAGGGCGCTCCTCAAGAGCTAAGTAGTTACACAGCAAAGCAACAACACAGAACCACAGCAAGAAATTCCTTTGACTGTCTGTCAGGGAAACATGACACATATATTAAGACAACATAAAGAATATGGAGAACATTTCAAATATGAGGCCAAATCAAAAGTGACAAGAAAAATTGCTGGCTTGCCATGGAGCAAATGCCTCTCAACTGGAAAATTCCATCTGTAAGATGGTTATCAATTCCCCAGAACAAAACAGGGGTGCCCTACTAGTAACAAAAAGCAGTATCAACATCTCTAAAAAGTTTCAATTTGTTGAAAATGGGGCACCTGGTTTGACTAGCTCAATTTTAGTTACTGAATGTGACTGGATTTTACAAAGCTATTTTGTTATAAAGTAGTCTCTAATTTAGAGACTCTGGGTTAATTCAGAAAAAACTACCCCTAAATGAGGCCGTATTATAATTTCAAATGTATTTCTAAACTGCACTGAGATAATGAAGACGTTATTGATTTCATTCAATCACAGTTTAATCATAAACAGAATGATTCTGTATTCCATTACTATTCCTGTTCAATATTCAATGCCTTGTACAAAGAGCCAACACTATTTCAACTTTCCAGTCATGTGACAGGCATAATGATCAGATTAATTTATAACTGCTATAAAAATAAGACTGCTTGAAGTGTAAACACATTTTATATGCTGTTAAGAGTATTTAAAATATTTTAAATTCATGAGTATGATTTTTACCAAAAAAGCATATATGAAATTTTATAACATCTTTTGTCCAGCCTATTAAGAATCTGCTTGATTATTAACAGCGATTCTAAAACTTAATATAACAATAAATGTTCAGACTTCCAAATGGCTGATGAGACATAATCTACCTTCAATATCAGATGTTCACAGATTGGTCTTCTGTAGTAGAAAGAAAAGGTGCAAATAACTCGTGAATTTACCTTCTTTGAATTTCCAATTCTTCTTGTGATGGGCCATTCTGAACTTGGGCAGGTAGTTGTGAATTTTGTCTAGGCAATGTCGGCCCTAAAAAGGGAGGGAAACATTATATAGATGAACATTATCTTTATACTGCACTGGATAGAGGAGATAAAATCATGAGAATAACATAAAACCATAACATATTTACAAATGTATCTTCTTTTTGTTTAGCAAAATAAAATATAAGCTTCATATAACACACAGCAAATGAAAGACTGCAACATAATACTGTCATTATCTCCAGAAGGCTTACTTGAAACAAATGGAAAACATCAACAATAAAAGAAAAATAAACATTTATATATGAAGAGCTTGAGTAAAACAAGTGTTCAATGAGCATCTGAATAGGCACCTAAGCTTGACGCTTCTAAGACAATGAGACATTCTCTTTGGGGTACTCATTCATGAAGTGGAGAGGGAGAACTTAAATGAAAAATCAGAATTCAAAAACTCACCTAAATAGAACACTGGAAATGAAAAACAGGAGAGAGAAAGCATGAGAACCTTTTTACTAGACTGATGTATGCTAATGCATTTATCAAATTTGCCCACTTTAAGTTGCCATTCTTATTTAATGGCCTGGCATTTCCAGCACTGGTGAAAACAAACATTTGCTCAACTTCCATATATAATTAATCTACTTCTCTGAATTTTTGATGTAACACAGGTAATTATAATAACTTTTCATTTGGGGTAAAAACAAAACAAAACAAAAACTGCGTTCAAAGCAACATGGTTCTGTCATGAGAAACTAATGACCATTCATTCCCACATCATATAAAATGCAGACCCATTTTTAGCATCTCATAAAGAAGGCCACTAAATAATGGGACATTTTAATGTCGCTGGATATAAAAATTATGTGTCATAAAATGAGATAAATAAAATACTAGACCTAACATACAATGCCTATGGTTACAATAGAACAATCTTGAAATCTAATCCAGTAAACAAGAGAATAAAGAAACAGTAGTTATCTTCCACTCTTGGAGAGAAATATATGAGTAATGATATGCTGCACATATTTGTGAATTCTAGTGTGCCAGCAAAGGCCCCTAACAGATAGTTTGAAAGTGTTTTGTAGACCACTAGTATAAAAAACAGTCAATAAATAAATGCTTCTACGTGCTAAAGCAAACTCTTGTAATCTATATGAGTTAAAAGCACAAAGTATCTATTTTATACTAGTGGAGAAGATTTCACAAAGAGAAGGATAAGGTTCACTAGAATATAATACAGTACTTTTATATCCCAAGTGCAGAAAAACAAATAATTTGATCTGAACTTACCTACTAATTTTTCTCCTCATCTCTTTACACGTTTTTACATTAATCATTTAATTTGTCCTCTAAAGACAAATTAGATGACAACTGCAGTGATATTTCATTAGATTTCCTAAAAGAGTCTGCTATTTTAAGAGCCACATAGAGGAAATATAAAAATATATTAATCCCATGTAATCAGTAACAGCAAAAAAATAAAATAAAATAAAGCTTTTAAAATTAAAAATGCACTTAAATGTTTGCATAAATGAAAATATGTAATGTGTCTAGGAGACAGACTGGAATTCTTTCCTTCTTTCGGATATTAACATAATGATATAAAAATAGACTGTCCTATTAAGCCATACCCTAAGGTTTAGTACTTTACTCGTCTCTTCTGGCAGAGGAGGGGGACACACAAGGTGGGAGGGTAAGTGTGAGAAAATAAAAACTATTTGCGGTAGTATTTTCCAAAGTTATATTTATCCAAAAATATTAAATGTGAGCATTCAGCATGGGCAACTCACAAGACCACCATGGTTTAACTAGTTTTAAAAACAATGTTTGTGTATTTAAGTTAAAACTTCATGCTACTCGAATAATTAAGCAGTGAATGTCAGTAGGTAGATTTGTTTGGCATCAGTCTCAAAGAATTCGATCCTGCTAATTCACATCTACATCAAGCACTGTAGCTCAACAATAATATTAATAGATTAAACTCACCAATTAAAATCTCGACGTAAGTTTTAACTCAAATACATAAATTCAAGAGAAAGATGTCAAAATTTCAACTCAATCCTTCTGATTTTATTTAAAGGTTTTTTTTTTAAATTAAACTGTCCAAAGTTTGATACAACTTACAAAAAAATCTGAATGTGAGAAAGGTTTCTTTTAGCAATTTATAAAAACTATTTTGGATTGTTTTTTTAATTTAAAAGTTTACTCAGCAAGCTTGTTTTAAAAGGAGGTTTTAAAAATGTGGGCAATATTTTCTGGCTGATATTATTAATTATAAAAATAGTTTACTACAAGGAAGATCCTTTTAAAATGGGAGGAATCCAAGAACAACTGAACAACTCTTAAAATTCTTTTCTACATGGTTCTTGGTGATAGTGGGTTATCTGTCTTCCCAAACACCTTCGTTATTAACTAGGGGGCAGAAGAGAGGATGCCTTCCCCCTGGCATTTTCTCACATCCATATCTAGCCTGGTTATTTCGTTGTTTCTTCTGCATCAATATTGTCAACTAACAATAACAAGCACATTGAAATTCATGTGCATTTAAGAAATAATATAAATATACTGTGAGCATTAAATCAAAGAGTCTTAGGTAAATTATGAACTTCAGGTACTCAATTATATTCTTCATTCTTGTCAAACATTTTACTGGGTTATACAATTGTTAAATTATACCAAAGGCACCACACACAACATGAAGCAGCAATTAAGATTAGGCAAGGCTGTCAGCTGCCACTGTATTTTCTGGAATATAACTATTAGTTACTTCACATAGGTCATATGCCTACATGAGTATCTGTGTTCTCACAGAATGCAAAAAAAGGTACTTTCCTAACCAGTGGGTAAGTAACAATATTTTATGAGCATCACAGGGTGGTTAACGGCTCTTTTGGGGGAAAAAAGGAGAAGTGACAAGTGAACCTGCTTTGTTCCTGCTATTGTATCATAAAGAACAGTAGCTACATGAGGGTTAGTTTTCTCTGTTCTATTACCACAGCCAAAGACAATGGTTGGTCTTAATTTGTCCTGGCTAGAATTCATATGGCAAAGTATGTAAATCACATGTTTCTAATAAAGAAAATGTGTCCATGTCACTGATATGGTATCTTATAGATGATGGAAATCAGAATAGAATGTCTCTCTAAACCAGGAATGAATGGCATTTCAGTCTTGACTTCAATACTGAGTTTTGGGTAAAGTATATTTCACTTATTGTCACATTTTAATTTTCACAGACCTAGTTTCACACTTAGCCACAGACTATTTAAAACACAGGACTAAAAGACAAATAGGTGTTATTATACACAATACAATCAAGTTTAAACTTAGCAATGTGGTAATTATATTGTTTGTACACAGTTAAATCAATTAAACATACTACTGGGGGAAACTGCTTTTTAACACATTATTTTACAACTTAAAAAATTCACCTTTATGAAGGCCAAATCAATCTTTTCTCTGCAGTTGGGTAAACTCTATTATTCTGCATGTGAACTACACATATTAAGTAGCGAAGTATAGAACATCAAGTAGGTTTTCAAAAAGAGCTAAAAAGAGTCCTAATAACACAAACACAAACAATCACTCATGGCTAGTTCAAAAGACCGCCTGGAAGAACCCCCAGGAGGAGGCAGAAAAATCAGAACTAAAAGTTACTAATTAATCACTTAATCTGTAATGATTAATTAAGGAACCTGAGAAGGAGTGGAGAGTTTATAAGGAGCCGCACAACAGGCTCACTGCTGTAACTGTCACCTGGAGAGATCGTAAAATAAAACCTCAGGTGATTAAGAAATGCATTAGAATTTTCATTTTTGGAAATTTCTAACACATGCTTATTTGCCTAAACCAGCAAGTATATCAATCTTAAAGCATTCTCTTTATAGGTCAAGAAACAGTATTAGTAATACTGAAGGATCATATCAAAAACTCTGATTCACATGGATAAAGTACATATACACAGCTGAATTGTTTATATGAAATTTTAGTAGTATATATCATTTTATCTCTCATAAAATAATCTGGCCAGCCAAGGTATACAGTAGTCAAAAACGTATATACGAGTTAAAAAAAAAAAAAAAAAAGGCTCTAAGATTTAAAAGTCACTTTTTGAACTTGGGTTTTCAAATCAGAAAGTTTTAGGATCAAATGAGAATAAAAAGAATTCAGACGTGTGTGTGTGTGTCGTGTATATGTGAACATATATATACATCCTAGTGTAAGGAGAAGGATATGCATATAATGCATATACCTGATTAACTGTAATGTGGAATGGTTAAGTGACATAACCGGTTTGTCCATGCAAACAACACATATATGTGCACACGTGTGTATATGAGTGTGAGAGTGAAAGAAAACACTCTTTAAGCCTAAATTCACTCCTAAGCCACAGATATCTAACCTACTGAATAAAGGAGGCTGTCGATCAGAAACCAACCTATTAATAAGAGCTCACATCTGCCTTACAACATGTACACCTGAAAATTAATTCAAGTTAAGCAAAAGCTCCCTTCCAATAAATCACATTTATATTCCCCAAATCATATTAAGATGAATATAACTTTTGCCCTTAAATTCTAATTTAAAAGACTGCTCTCAAAGAAAATAGTTAAAAACAAAAACGAACAAACAAAACCCCCTCTCATTCGTGTTGGAGGAAGTGAACAAGAAATTAGTTCTGAGATCCTAATTCTAACTAAATCCTTTCTAAGAAGCCAACTCAAAAGCTGACCAAACCACCTACATGAACCACAACAAATATCACAACATAAAACAGTAGCTTGCTGTGTATCCCAAATACCACAAACCAGACCATGGCCTAAGGAAACAAAAGTTATGGAAATGCGCAAGGAGTATGTACCACAGCTTGAAAAAGTAATGTAAACATAATGTTGCTTACCACAGAAAATACATCGCAAATTAGTGCTGTCCTGGGTAGCAGTAACTTTGCTCTGGGCTGCAACAGACACCTTGGTGTTAGAAGCTTCAAAGGACAACGGGGCCATCTGAAGAACTTCACATAAACTAAAAGGTGCTTTGAAAGGTTCAAAAGTATTACACATACGTCCTAGCTAGATCCTCATTCTGGAAACTCTGTAATTTAATAAAAACGTATCCTCTTTATAACATAAACTTGTTAAAATTTTTTATGTGTAATCTTATTTGTGGAAAAAACCCTATAATAAGCCACAGACCAAATGATGCACTTATATATAGCTTAATTATTTCCTGAGTTATACAATCAGAGAATGCAATCGATTTGCATTTTACAATTATCTTAAAAAGTAAGTGGACCTGAGATACAGGAAGTCAGATCTATGGCCATTAGTTAATTCCATGATAGCTACCCTCTTTTAGTATTGCTCATTTAAAAGAATTTGCAGCTGAAAAAAATTTAAGGGAAATGCTTAAGATTAGCTTAACGTGAGATGAACTCATCTCTACTAGTTGAAGACCAAAGCCATTTTACACAGCCTCCAGCAATTAAAGTGATATATATTCATTGATGTCAAATAAGAATATCTTCATTTTTCATCTTTGAAAAACAGCAAAACTATTCATTGTTTTATCGAGCCACATTTTATTTTCCTTTTTTCTTCAATATGTATATATGCATACGAATTTGACAAAATCTTGTTAAAAAATGCGTGGCCACCTCAAAAAGCCACTTAATATTTAGGTTGCCTATACTAAAATTTACCTTAAGTATTAATGAGGTAAATTCTCTTTAAGTGAAAAAATTCAATGAGAAGGAGATGATAATTTATGAAAAGGGGAAAGGCTTTTACAAAAGCAAGGTGACACTCAAAACTGGGGTGGGAAAAACAAAAATTTCTTTTAGTTTTACATTAGTGACGTTCAAAACTTTACATCAATACTTTTCTATAAATAAAATACTACAGAAATTCTTTTCAGCATAGGAAAGATTTTCTCTTTCCATTAGTATTAATCAAGAAACAATAAACAAGTTAAAAATATATTGACTTAAGAAAGACTACATAAAGGCAAACAAGACAGTAATTTAGATTTCCCTTAAAACTGTATTATTTAAATAATACAATTTATGCTAACTAAAAGTTTGCATAGAATCAAAACCAAACCAATTTATATTTAAAGAATGCACACCTGAAAATGGTAATAAATCTTAAATAAGAGAATTTTTTATTGTTTTTTAGAAATTAGATTTAATATAATCCAATTACGTTTAAGTCTTGTTTTAAAGTTATTAAATACAGCAGATATTTTCAAACACAAAATAAGATTGTTGAATGTCACCTTTCCTAAGTACTTCCACCCACTTCGTCAATTATTATTAAAGTCGCATGCACAATATTTACAGTAATGACATAAAAAAGACCACAGGCATACATATAAAATGTCTACTAGCCTAATCAGATCATGCCAAAGACGATAAACCATTTAGAAGATGTTCAATAATTATATTTTGTTTAAACTTTTTAAAAAATCTGTCTTACCGATGTTTGTAAATGACTACTTCTATAAAGCCCCTATTAAATAAACATGCCTGTCTTCAGGTTTTACCCTTCAGCTCCTTTCATTCATATTTAAAGGAGGAAAAAAAATAAGGAAAATATTAAAAACTTACAGGAAAAACCTGAGAAATTATCTCTGACAGCAAAGAAACTGCCACATTCCATTACCGATCACTTTGGTTAAAAAGTCATCTGACAATCGTCAGAATTAAGGTAAAACATTACTACCACGTAAGACCCCAAATCCCCAATTTTGCCAGTTTAAACTATTATGCAACATTCTTGCACTTGGTATCTTTAAACATATTCTTTCTACTGACTTTTACTTCATACCATCCCTAAAATACTTATCTAAATTCTGATAAGGTTGCTCGAGTTCTACTGCAGTTTGCATTTCCCGAAGATACTAAATTATTCATTCCATCATGTGCATAAGGCTAACAGCACTTCCTGCTTAATACTGATGCTGTTAACTCTTTCTTCACTCAGTTGAGGGAGGACGGTGGAATATGGGAAAAGAATGTTCAGTGTACAGATTGAGTAAATTCAGTTAAAAAAAAAAGACACTTCTCTTTAAATCAGTGTTTTAAAATAGGCTTACGGCTGACAGAAATAAGGATGCACCCTAAAGGAAAACATGACCTAAAGAGGTTAACTAAAGCAGTTAAGATGCATCAAAAAGCAAAACTTAACATCTATATTAGACTTCTAGAAAAGAAAAAAGACCATCTCTGTGAGCCACTCTGACCTTGAAATAGTCTTGTCATGGTTGTTCATTTATTTCTAATATAGTTTGTGAAACAGCTGTCCCTCAGGCTTTTCCCCATCTTTTAACATCCTTTAGCATTAGGTATTTTGTACAAGCAGGGAAATACACAAACCTTGGGTGAGATATTAGCAGGAGAAAATGACAGGCTGTCATTTGATCAGTATTACTGCATTTTATTGCAATATATAATTACTATAGTAGACCCTTAGCATTCACATTTTTAACATTAGAGGTCTCCACGATCAGGAGTTAATCCCAAAGAAATTCGTAACGAGGAAACTACCCAGCTCAGCATTTTTTCTGAGGATTAAAAGAGATAATGTTTGCTTACAGCTGGTTTTAATTTGATTTGTTCTCTCTGGAAAGCTGGTCTGTTAAGCACAGCATAGCATGCAAATTAGCAGTGATCATACTTCTGACCATCATTAGGGCCCCAGGTATTATCCTCATGATTGCAAAGTTCTACTATAACCATTTTTGAGAGGGCATGAAAGCAAATGTGTTTGTGTTTGTTCTAAGGTATACAGAATAGAATGGAAGAAGACACTGCAGTGGTATGGTTGCCTGTGTTCAAAAATAGGTACCATGGGGTATAAACTGGTACAGCCACTATGGAAAACAGTACAGAGACTCCTCAAAAAATTAAAAAACAGAACTAACATATGATCCATCAATCCCACTTCTGGGTATATACCCAAAGAAATTGACAACAGGATACTGAAGAAATATCTGCATTCCCACGTTCAGTGCAGCATTATTCACAATAGTCAAGATATGAAACAACCTAAGTGCCCATCAACAGAAAAGAAGATGCAGTGTACACACACACACACACACACACACACACACACACACACACTGCAATCTTATTCAGCCATAGGAAAAAGAAAATACTGTTAGCAGCAGACCTTGAGGGCATTATGCTAAATGAAATAAGCCAGACAGAAAAAACAAAGACTGCACGGAATCACCTGGATGTGGAACCTAAAAAAGCTAAACTCACAGAAAAGTGGTTGCCAGGGGCTGCGGGGTGAGGCAAATAGAGAGAGGCTGGTAAAAGGGTACACATTTTCAGTTACAAAATGAATAAAGACTGAAGATCTAATGTAAAACACGGTTGATAACATAGTTGCTAACACTGTACTATATAACTGAAATATGCTAAGAGAATAGAACATAAATGTTCTCACCAAAACAAAACAACCAATCAACCAAACAAAAAAGATAAATATGTGATAGATGTGTTAATTGACCAGATGGAAGAAATCCTGTCACAATTTACATGTGTATCAAATCATCATCGTGTACACTTTAAACATCTTACCATTTTATTTGTCAATTATACCTCAATAAAACTGGGAGGAAAAAGGTACCATATTTGCAGGGCACTGTGCTAAAAGACATGGGAATTACAAATAGTAAATTTTATTCAAAGTGAGGATAATTTTAAAGTGGCATTTAAAAACATTTTCAAAAGAATTTCAAATTTTGTTTTAAAATATATGCAGTTTTTAATAAAGGAAAATCGTTATATATCTCAAAAAATGAGGTATCATGCATCTATAGCCACATGTGAAAACAATACCATCATATAGAACTGCTCTCTCTTTTTTTTTCATTACTGAATCTTAAGCAAAACTATTTATATGACTGGGTTTCCCCGCCCCTCTTCATTTCTTTAGTTCTCCCCCAACTTAGGGTCTCAAATGCATTTTATTCCCTTCTAAGCAAGAATGAAAATGGCTGCTAACAGTTGATAAATTGCTGATAATTGATTAGGCTTGACTGGCAATAGCATCAGTCCAACATCTGTTTTGTAAGCCATTTATTTTTAGATGTGGAATGAGTGACTGTCTCCAGCTAGAGAAACTGAAGTTGAGGGGTTTATAATTTACCAATCCTGCCATATCCTAACACTTCTAAAGGTAAGAGTAATCCGTGTCCCACATTCATTTCTCTGCTTCTTCCTCATGGGCATAGATCAAATTCCCTCACCATCCCCACCCCTTTCTATTTCGTTACTAAGGCACTATTAAGTACATATATGCTCAGAGAAAACACCACATTCAGGTAGAATGCACATTAACAAAGATGATTAGCTTATTACTAGAGTATCTGTTAACTCTCTAACCAGCGCTGTTATCTATTCAGTTATGCAAACCAGATATCTAGGGCCCTTCCATTACTACTATTTAACCTACTTCCAAGTCCTGTTAATGCAATCTCCTCATTGTTCTCCAAACTACCTCCACTGTCACTCTTCATGTTCCATGATCTCTTGGTTTTCAAAGTGGGATTCATATATCCCAGAATGCTAAATATACCCTAGGGTAGGTAGGAAAGAACATAGTAGTACTTCCATTTCTGTTAATTTTTTTCTCATCCTTTTTACAGTTCTATTTTTTCATGTTTTACAATGTATGCCATATGTCAACGCCAAACATATACATAAGCTATAAATGCATGTGCATTAGGAGATAAGCTCAAAAATTAAGGGACCACCAGCCTAGACTATTAAATAAACTGTCCATTCTGATGCTGTACCTCTCCCGTTCCCCACAGCAGCCGGTGATACTTTAATAACTAAACCAGATCAAATCATCTCCCTTAGTAAAATCTCTTCAATATCTTCCCACTGATCTTAAGATAAATACCAAACTCCAGTGCTTTCTCCCCATGATGTGGCTGTGGCCT